GTATACGTAAAAACGAATTGCGCTTTATGGATTTATTAATAGCCACTTCATCCTGATGCTGCATTGCTAATGATGACGGAAAATAAAATATTTGTATTACTAACACAACTTAATACGCTTCAGAATACAATTTTAAACATGTTTTTCAATACAAAGACACTTTGTATATAAAAATGATGATTACAGTAAGTCTATTTAAATTGCGTGTGACAAAGAGAAGTATTTTAAAACATAGAGCTTTTGACACGCCATAGAAATCGTTTAAGCTATTCCTTTTATCTATGTTTCTTAGTCTAATGGCTGGGATGTTGTTGCCTACTTAAGCCCACGGTAACTGCGTCTTCCATCAATCTGGATAATACTAGAATAGACCTGCACATTCCGAACCGTGCCGGACTCTAGAGGACATTTTGTTCCACAAGATGTATTAAACTGTCCGTCACGTGACGCAATGCTATGAACGTGACGTCCAATAGGAAACAACCTCAGCTGTGTCATTAACGGTGTCACCACAAAGGCAACATCATCTCATTAAAAATAACAAAGGTGGAAATAGGTTTCTCCTGCCTCATTGATTTTGATGTTCGTTCGTTACTTATGGCATTATGATAATCTATTTTTTGCAAAGCAAATGTTACAACAGAGACACTGCGCAGTCGTGAATTAATCTTCCTTCTTGCTTTCCCTTGTCAATATCATTTTATAAGATCGGGTTTCAGTTATCGATCGAGTCGATTGTCGAAGTCTTTGAAAATCCCCGGTTGATACTGGTATACTTTCTCGCACTCTCGCCCGCCGTGTTGTTTGATTTAAGCTATAGATAAACTGAAATAGCACTGGATAATTTATAACTCTTGACTTGGTGTTAAAATAAATCGGGCAGTTCTTGACGAACCAAACATCTGTAAATTTTCTAACTGCAGACCATCGACCATGGAGTTTGGCTGTTGTTGTAATTTACGACTTTAGTTACAGTAGCCGAGGAAAGGCCTGTCACTGCTAGCAAATGAACTTGAAACATCAGTATTACTGGGTTTCTGGACTCTGCTCATTGTGTGGTATTTTGAACAGAACACGACGTTTCGAAAACTGCTTCTATTTTTGTCCTCAAGGAAAAAGTTGGGGAGTAACATATGGTTGTCCAGTGACTGAAATTAGTTGCTTGTAACGGTAACGTAACTTGGTCCAATCCCTTTATAACTGAACTGGAAACATACTTAACTACATCTTAACAACTCCGTATACGGGAGTAATAGTTCAATATACACATTACTCCAAAACAGGTTTTGACATCCGACTTTCTACGCCAGTCCGCCTCGTTGCCGTCCCCGTTTCGTCACACATACGTTTCACAGTTTCGTCACACTTTAAGGAGTTTGATAAATGCTCCTTGTTGTTTTATGAGATTTGAGGCTTTCATGACGAAGATTCCGCTGTTGGTCTCCTGCGTTGTAACGTCATGTCGAATTTTATTTAGATGTTAACCTTTCCGATAAAAATACTGTTTTCATCTTCAGGGTTCCTGTTATTGATTATATTTTATTTTTGATCAGTGACAACTGTTAAAATTAAACCTGAAATCATGTGAATACCAAACCGATATACTTGCTACTAGACGACAGAAATGTATAAACTCTGTTGTTTAGAATTTTATCGCTCTGCGGATATGTTGATAAGAGCTAAATTTGTTTAAATAGGCAGTACTGAGAAAACACAAAAGAAATTTGTATATCTTCATGCGCTATATATTTTATGTTAAACAGAATGTTAATTGCCCGAGAACATTTTTTTAACATCCAGACGCCAATGAAGTTTTAAGAGTTAACATGCACATATTTTGACGTTGAGGCGGAATTTTTATTAAATTTATAACGTTTGACTTGAGTTTTGATCTAAAGTAATAATTATATTAAACTGATAAACTATCTTTATTCAGCTGGGTCAGAGCTGAATCTCTTAACTTAGTACCGAAAGTCTGATAACGCGATGTTTCGTCAGGTCAGGGCTCTCGCACACCTCGTGGGGCGGTGATAGGCGAGTGTTGATGGAGCACAGGAGGAATGATGGTTAGTGGGAAGAAATGGAAGGACTCGATGGAAGACTGAGCTCACCTGATACTGAACGTGGTCCTCCGTGGTGTGAACCCGGCGTCTGGCCGCCTGGTCAGTGACACGGCTGTTAGGAACCAAGCAGATGTACCCCATAAATTTAAATTTATATCACAGTATCACATTTTATCCAAATGCCTGTGATATCCCACGTTATGCTCTCACCTATATTGCTGAGATCAAAGAGTCCATTTGTAATTCGCATATAATCGATAGATCTGGCATTTTCTGAGTTTATTCTGTACTGAATGGGGTGCAGTTTCTGGAAGACCCCCCCTCTCTCTCTCTCTCTGACCCTTGACGTCACAAAACTTAGTTCCGATTCATGTAACTGATGTAAATAAGTAGCCCCTTAATAAAGGTTATTATCCTTTTCCCCCGAGGTAGTCAATAAAACCCGGACTTAACACGCTAAATGTTTTCTGTCTCTTAAATGCTGCTGTTAATCCGAGTTATTAATACGTAGCAGTATTAACGTGATTTTAGGAGCAAGTAATGTGAATATTATTAGATTATCCTCGTTCGATACATACGGCATAAATCTGACCAGTGTATGCTAATCCGGAAGTCTCTCCCATTGCTCTTTCGTTGCTGGCAAACTTTAACGCAGGTTTTAGGACCGACCTGGGGAGAATGCTATCATACTTAGCAAAGAAATATAAGCGTACTTGTAAACTGTTATTGTAATTGAAATGTGCTGTTTCAGTTTGCACGTAAAGCGTAGACATGCGATCAAACATCGATGAGTCTACAAGGCATCAACATCCAAGGGAGCAGCGTACTCGGAGTTAATCAAATTCAAAATTAAATTAAATTCTTTATTTTAATTTGCCTACTTAATAGCTACATTAGCAATTTACAGAGTTAGTACATAACGTTTCTTGCATTAAAATTGTTGAAGTTATATAAATTTGAGATACGGATGATATAAATAACATGAAACAGGTTTCATCGTCATTTTATGCTGCAGTGCTCAGAGACTGTAAAACTGCAAGTTTTGTTTATATTCGCGTATAAAAAGGTATTATTAAAGGTTCGTGTATAAATGTGCATTATTATAGGCGGATTAAAAAAGAATGCTGCTGATTTAACAATTTAATCTGTTAGCAGACAGACATGTTATATTGTGCACTGTATTACGTAATATCCCGCAAACACGTAGCAATTTCAACTTAGGTTTCTTTGGTATGTCTGCCTTGTCAATCTGTAAGTACACACGAAGTAGCCATGCGTACCTTTAGTAAGTGCCTAAGCAGCTTACATGCCATACAGTTGTACTAAGTCACAAAGATCCACGCATTCTTAAACATGCACTTAAAAAGATGTGTGTGTAATACGTGTTATTATTTCCGCTTTCACATAGCTACTATTATAATTTTCCTTCAAAATAGTCTTTACAGAAATTTAATCGACTTTAAATATATGCCATTCTAGAAACTTAAAAAAAAAATTACATATAAACCCCTTCGGTGCTACGTTTTGAAAACAAATGTATCCCTTTTTCTGTGTTTTATTATAACATTAATTCCATTCATTAGAAAGGCCATGTAATAACTACGTTCTATTGAACTAATTTTAATTAATTCAATTCTAAAGGGTTCTGACGACGGTGGATTACACTTAAAATCATTCACTATCTGGACTTTTCCCGTCATCCTCGTTTAAAAGAAATTTTAATTAAATTCAGTGGCCTTTACTTGTGTTGCTGTAATTGGAATTTAAAAATCAGAACCCTGTTTCCAGTCATCACCAACGCAGTAGAATATTCAATTAGAAGCTAATAGTTGCTTAGCTGATCAATAAATTTGTCCACATTTTATGAAACTATTAGGTTCATTAATGCGTTGACAAGAGCCTGCCGCCGAATTCAATCCACGGTGTATTACTTTAATATACAGGGTGATTCAAAAAGGACTTTACAACTTTGAAAGTGTATAGAAATTTATTCAGAAGGCTTGCAGAATCGGTTGAGGTGTCATTTTGTAGCAAAACAAATCAAGTTTTACCTCAGACAGTCATTTTGGTTCGATGTGATTGCCATTGGTGATACTTCAGACATCCCACCTGAAATCAATTTGTTGCCAAACACGATCCAGCATATCCGGTGTCACTTCTGCAACTGAGGCGGTGATTCGAGCTTTGAGCTCAGTGAGATTGGCAGATAAGGGTGGGACAAACACACGATCTTTAATGAAACCCCATAAGAAAAAATCGAGAGGTGTCAAATCTGGAGAACGAGGTGGCCATGCTATCGACCCTGTTCGACCACTCCACCGACCTGGGAAACGGTTATTGAGGAAATCCCGGACTTCTGTGAGATAGTGAGGTGGTGCGCCGTCTTGCTGGAAGTGAATGAGTCCGCTTTGGTCATCTTCGTCTAACTGTGGTATAAGAAAATTTTCGAGCCATTTTCAAATGCACTGCCGCTTGCGCTCGCAGTGACGGAATTCGGTACTACAGCACAACGTGAGTCAAACTTGATTTGTTTTGCTACAAAATGACACCTCAACCGATTCTGTAAGCCTTCTGAATAAATTTCTATACACTTTCAAAGTTGTAAAGTCCTTTTTGAATCACCTGGTATATTTGAGTATTATCCTCCCACCTACAACTAGGTTTCCAAATTAGTCTCTTCCGTCTTGGTTTTCCGACCAAAAATTCTGCATGCATTTCCCAGCTGTCTCATGCGTGCTGAATTCCTCGCCCATTTAACCACCTTGATTTGATTATTCTAATATTTTCTGATGAGTACAAAGTATGAAGCCCCTTATTATGCACTGTTACATATCCTTTGTTACATTCGACCTCGTATGGTCTAGTACAGTATGTTACGTTATCGTGGTAAGATTGAGTAAGTTTTTATATAATTCTTGTTCTTTTTGTGCTCTACAGAAACTGCTGTGTTTAAGAAGCAGGTAATAGGTACAGAAACCCGGCTGCAAAATACGTCAAGTGGCGGGGGTCGGTATATGGGGGTCACCCCCCACCACAAAAAGTGGAAGTCGGACTGGAAATTATTTTACTCGAGGAAGAACTACTCCGACAAGACCCGGCAAGCCCATGGTGAAATCAGCTGCAATGATAAGGCAATCCAGCCTCACCAAGCTGGGGGTTATGATAAATACAGCAGTCAACAGCAAGCGAAATAGTAAGTTTCGTGAACACACAAAACCTTTCCATGCTCTGTATTTTTGTTAACAGAAAGTAACAAAAATACAGGGCATGTTAACACAGTTAACAAAATTATAGAGCCTCAATTAGCATCAGCACTGCCTGTGTCGATTTTTTGTTGACATTTTATTCTATTATATGTTGTGATGACATTTTAAAGTTTCCATGTTTTTAAAATTGTATATGAATGGCTGAAATATAAGAAAAAGTGTAAAATATGATATAATAAGCGTCTACAGAATGTGTTTTTTCGCTTTCGCAGCTTTGTTTTTGTAGGTATTGTATACAAATGTTTGACGTGTGTACAGCGAAGTCGACAATGTGACCACCGGTTGGAACGTTTCCTAAGAAACCTTAAGTTTTCATCGTCAGTTGCACGACAGATTTTATGCTAATAGGTTCTGTTTCATGTTTGTTCGGTTGTTTTCTTTTCTTTATATTTATTCTTTTTAGAGGCAGCATTTACAAACATTAATTGGTAAGTACTATCTTGTATTATTAAAAAGAGTTTTCTATTTCAAAGAATTCAAGCCCGTGTACTATTTTACATATATGCGTGATCTGTGGCCATTAAATTATAGGATAAAGTTGGGGGTTTGTAGGGGCGCATGATTGAAGTTTCGTTTAGGGCAACAAATACTCTTGTGCCTGCCCTGTTCAACATCATGTCAGTTTTAGAGCATTATCTGAACCCGAAGTCTCGTAGGAGCATTAAACAACGTTAATATCACAGTTTCATAAACTGTAATACACATTACGATAAAAATGTCGTATAGTTACAGGGGAGTTCGACCTTGAGGAAGCAGAGTGTATTGCACTACCATCTATCGCATGTTTCTTGAACTTCGCTGCCATCGAGGTTGGAATCGTAGATTGCATTTGCCTAATACACGTAATCGATAAGTACTGCTACATGGTTTTGCATATGCAGTCATTAAACGTTGGTGCCAAGTAGAAACATGCCGATTACTATTATAGTTACACAACAATAAATAATATTTCCGAAACTTAAAGGGAGTGTTAACTTCTAAAGTGTGATTTCTTTGGAACAGTTGTTTACGCTACACGATTGTCACTTTTTCCTCGGAATTCGCATCGTGCATGACGTCACAGTCGTTGTTGTGCACTCGTGAGTGCCGCCATTGCGTCTGAGTATTTTATATTGAAATGTGACAAATCTCCTTTCATCGGTTTCCCTATTCAACAAAAATCCTCGTTAGCCCGTAGATATAAATTGGCACAAATCACAGGATACGGGAAAGTTGTCCCGGTTATCTGATATGGCCGGTAAGTATCATATATCCGGACGATTCTTTGGGCGACCTAATTGATACTTGTATTTGAAGAAGAATGGTTAAGTTTGGATACTTGCTAAAATGAATGGTACATGTGTGTGTTGTGGTGTCTCAGAATGTACTCATTCTGTAAAAATTATGTATTGTAGGCCCCTTTGTTTATTAGTAATTGTCGTTCACAGGTAATGGAGAGATCCAGTGGTGCTTTTCACAGGTGAAAGGGACGCTTGATGACGATGTGACAGAAGGCAAGTTTTAAATCATATTGCGACATGCTTGCTTTGAGTGGTCATACGATCGTGCTACCCATTTGTGTGTGAAATATGCAATCGCATCCCGTAGAATTCGCTCAGAAAACATGTTTTGACAGAAAATGTTTAGGATTTTCATGTTGTATAAGTACGTAAACATGTCTTGTGTTCATGCTACAGTGTTTTAGTGCCAAATGAAATTGTGAGGTAGAACATAACCTCATCATATAATATGCAAATTCAGAGCAACTATCAATATTTTATTGATGAATAGTACTGAAGTTGTGTTAACTAAACTTTATTATAAACAGTGTGTATATGTTTTATATCGCTTTAAGTTTAGGAAATTACATGTTTGTTTAAATTTGATTTCATAGTTCCAACTTCCATTTTTTTTCCAGCTGATATTATTTCATGTGTAGAATTCAATCATGATGGTGATCTTCTGGCAACAGGTGATAAAGGGGGGAGAGTTGTCATCTTCCAGAGAGATCCTGTTGTAAGTATTTTAACATTGAAAATTATTCTTATTATTATTAGGATACCAGAAGGGAAAGGGTGTCTTGAGCCTTATCCAGGTTTGTGGAGGTAGGCATGGTGGTAAAAAGAAATTTCTTTCTTGCCTACTAGCTTTCTATCCTTGTGCAGTTTGGAACTTGGATACAGTATTTTAAAATGGAGTACAGGTTGTGGGGTGGTTTTTGCTTAAGGTATGCTGTTGCATTCAGTTTTACTATAAGCAGAAAGAATCTTTTTTTATGATGGCAGTGATGGTAATGAAATAAATTGAAACAAAAGGAAGTGTGAATTATTATATGTTATCTGGTATGAAGCAGTATATTTATGTAGCAGAATATGATGAATTGGTGTCCCACAACAGTAAATGCATTACTCACTGCACTGTTGTTTCAATGTTATGTTTGAAATGCGAAGTGAATTGTAATGAATTGATTTTTGATTAGCAGTTCGTGTAAGATTATGTGTTCAGTTCCTAATCATCTCCATTGCATTACTGTTCATGTTGTTGCAGTTCTGATTTCAGTAAATTAGTCGGCAACAAGAGACATTAATATTTCAGTGATTATCACATGAAAGATTATATTAAGAAGTATATAGACATGGTTGCATCCTTCACATTTGTTTTGTGCATATTGGTTTGTCCACATGTAATATAAGAAGGTGCACTCAAATAAATGACTGCTATGATCTGCTTGATTTTTCCATAATCATTGAAATCTTGAGGTTCGTACTTACGTCACACTTAACAGACTATTTGATAGCCATGACCACATTTTACCTGTTAGCCTAGTGTTTGCAGTTATTAATTGATCATCCTGGGGTCCGTAATGATGTCTCATTCCACACATCATTTGACAGTTAGCTGAAAGGAGTTTGGTTAACAAGTGTGCATTTTCTTAAGTAGGTTGTGAGAAGGAGCAGTGGAGGGAACTGTTGCATGATTTTGTTTAGAGACAGTTGTAACTTCAGTGTCTTCTAAAGCAGGGTACTTAATCTTATCCCTCCTGTTAACACAGTTGTAAGATTTTAATAGGCTCTGGTGATATACATAAAAGTAATAAATGTGCAGTTGTAGTGATTGCAAAATAAGTGAAGCATTTTTAACTTGTTCAGTGTCATTATTAAAGAAGACTGCTGTACTGTATTATCGCTGTGGAAATATTGGACTGTCTATTATTCACTTTTGCTCAGTGAACAAACGTTTTTAACTCTTTACGTGGAACTTCGCGTAAATGGGGCAGCGGCTTAATTGGGCCAAAGTGTTCTAGTCCCGGTGTGTCTCAGTTAACCGGAATCTACTGTATAAAGGGTCCTGATGACAATTACTTTTGACATTGTTCAGCATCTTGGTTATTTGTTCAGTGATGGACCCAACAGAATTGTCACTTCCTTTTCCTTATCTTCACCTGATGATTTAGATCAGTGGTCCTCAACCTTTTTGTGCCTATGGGCACATTTGAGAGTTTATGAGATTGTGACGGGCACCTACCAATTAACAAAGCCAAATATTCTTTTCTCTGGACAAATAAGATATGGACACCAAATAATACACAAAACAACACGACGTTTAATGATACAAGAAACCGTGCAATCAAAAATACGTAGTTTTATAAGTACAATTATTATTACTCAAGTGGGAAGTTAGTGTGAAGTTTGGCACTGCATTTCATCGGCCAGTTTTTCAAATTTGGGAGTGTAGGATGATGTTGCTGTTCGCAAACATTCGTCAAGATGAGTGTCAGTAAGTCGAGATCTGTGCTTTGATTTTATAATGTTCATGGTTGAACGGCCTTCATTATTCAGTATAACCTCTTTCCGTAACAATGCGGGCACCCAAAAAAAGGCTTGACAGGCACCGCGTTGGGGACCACTGATGGATCCAGTTTCTGAAACACTGTGGTCTTTTAATCAAATAACCAATATTATGGGCAATATGTAAAATAATAGTCGAGTTTATATTTCCACACTACATTTTATATTAAATTGTGTTTGTAATTTAGTAAGAAATATTTCTGGCAATTTTATGTTATAATTAGACCATTAGCCACCTCAGATGAAGTTTTATGGTTACCACTCCCACTAAGGGAGATGCTATAATGGCATTGAATGTTTTGTTGTTATTTTATAACAACAAGCATTATAAGCATTAATGCCAATGATGAATGTGAACTGAATTCATGCATAATCTAATAATAAAGTGCAGGCATTAAAATGTTTGGCTACTTATACATTAATTACAGTGGTTACAGAAATATTATCACACTTGCATCTGTTGTTTTTCTAGAGTAAGAACTGCATTCCTCGAAGAGGGGAATACAATGTATACAGCACGTTCCAGAGTCATGAGCCAGAATTTGACTACCTCAAGAGTCTTGAGATTGAGGAGAAAATTAACAAGATAAGGTGGCTCAAGAGAAAAAATCAAGCCCATTTTCTATTATCTACTAATGGTATGATTAATTTTCCAGAGATTTTAATTTTACATGTCAGACTACGTATTATAATTTTGTATTTCACCATTTGTGCTCCCATATATTTTGTTGTGAAATTAGAAAAAAATAATCTCTGCATGCATTATTTCACCCGTTTCACTCGTTTGAAAGACGCTGAGGTTGATAAGTTTTGCTGTCATAGTTGGGAAGGGACGGCAGCAGGTATTACTTCCAACGTGAGCAGGTGAAAGATAACATGAAGGTTTTGCAAATAAATACAGTAAACTGTCTTTTGTTACCAATTAATCCTGTACCTATATTTTCAGTGACAGATTAATTTCATAAATTAAGACTCTGAGATTTTGATCATGACGTGATGATTTGAGGAAAATTATGCATACATTATGTGCTGTAATAGAGTGAACTTAATTATCTGGACTATTGGAAGAGGGGAAATGCTCATATATTGAAAAGAAGGCATTTACAGTAATTTTTAGATTTATTTCACATACTAACATGATCCCAGTTATGATTTTAACAATTTACAGGACAGTGTCGGATCTCACCTCAAAGTCACCACAATCCGTCCACCCTCTTTCCGGGAAGTCGTAAAATTTCATTGGGGCACCATAAAAGAGAGATGTGTGGCAATAAGTGGGAGAGTGTGATGAAAAATTGATTTACAGAGACACTGTTATTTACAGCATTGAATGGTTTTCTGGCCTTTAGTAAACTGTAAATAGGAAATCCAAAAGAATTTTGCATAAGTAACTTGACCAAGTAATCGCTGCTGAGGTACTGTATGTACAGACAGTCTAGTTGTTGTGTTCCCTTATGTTCTTTGCATGATTTGTCCCTTTTATACTTTCTAGATCCATGCTGTTGTGGATTTTAATCATGGACCTTATTTCTGTTTGTTATCATTGTTTCCATATACGTATATTTTAATGTTTTAGTACATACTGTGAAATATTTCCATGTTTTGCTTTATGGTATATTTTCCCCCATAAAATTTAACAGAGGAAAGAATATCTTTATCTTAATGTCAGTTACTTGCTGTTGTATGGACAAAGGTACTTATGCAACATACTAGAAGAAGCCTTTGGCAAATGTTATGGGTGCCAGGTAATTGTAGTTTTTGGTCTAGATGAGATACACTTAAAAAGTGTACAAGGTTGCTGATTGCATAAAGTTATTAGGAAACGTGCCATAAATTACATACTGGTATCATATTCTTGTGCCCTTATCACTTATTTTTGTCACTATTTAGAGGGTCTTATATGACGATGTAGCGTGTATGTGGGCAACTTTTGTCTGGATACCAAGAATGTTGACAAGGAATAATCGTGCTTTTTGGTATTGAATGGGAGTAGTGGTCAATCACTTTGTCCACACGTCTTGATTTTATACAACCCAAGAAATATTTTATAGTTCATGTTTTACTGTTGGGGTCCACAGTGGCCGCGCGGTCTGAGGTGTGGGCCTTGTGCCGCTTGGTCGCTGGGACCGTGGGTTCGAATGCCACTCTAGCCGTGGATGTTTGTCCGCGTTTTTCTGTGTCGTGCTGTCATGTGTACAGGTAGAGGCCTCGCGACAGGCCGATCCCTCGTCCAAGGAGTCATACCAAAATGTCCATAGATCAAAGCCAACGAAAAGTTGGGACCCGTAAAAGGGTGCTAGAAAATGTATAAACATTATTAAAATGGAAATAGAAGAAGATGATTTTTTACTGTTGAAGGTGTTTGCCGCAGTCACAGATGACTCATTTAACGTATTTCTTCATCTTATATTTGCTCTTTTGTTTATAGATAAGACTATAAAATTATGGAAGGTGTCAGAAAGAGACAAGAAGGTTGAAGGTTACAACACCAAAGAAGAGAATGGTCAGTTAAGGGATCCATCATGTGTTACTGCATTACGGGTGAATCGCTTCCTTGCCATTTTAAAAATCTCATGTAGTTGATATGCAGTAATGTTAAGTTGTGCTGAAAATGTGGTGAGAGATTATTTGAGTGCATGCATTTTATTGCAACACCTGCATGAAAGTGATCAAGATATCACAGTACCGCATTTCATGCTGTTGTTTGTTATTCTTTCAAAATCAGTAAGAAATAAAATCTTCATACATTTTCTGTATTTATTGAAGACATGTAAGAGAAGACAATGCAAAATATTATTGACAAAGTCAGAAAGGGTAGCAGCAGATATAAAATGACATAACTGTGTGTGCAGTTAGCAAGAAGGAATTGTAAGTAGCGTAATTCTGTGTCACCGTCGTGGGTTGTGGCATGACCTTCCTTGATGCAATCTGCCTGGTAGGTTTTCTGTCTCAAATTTTTTCATCTCACTGGGCAGGTAACAGGCAAAGATGGATGGGTCATGAGGCCATAACTTGAAGTATTTTTCCTCCTCTTCTTCTTTCTCATCTCCGATTTTTGCCTTCATAGCGTCGGGTCGATTGCTCGGTCCGCCTCCTCCATTCCTTCCTGTCTCTTGCTAAGAATTTCATCTGCGTTAAACTTATCCCCTTTGCCTGTCCTATTTCTCTAATAATATCCAAGTAACTCTTTATAGGTCTTCCTCTTGTTCTGGTACCCTCAACTCTAGCTTCCAAAAACTGTTTCATCTGCCATTCAAACAACACGTCCAAACCATTTCAGTTGTTTTTCTTCCAACTTTGTTTTAAGTGATTTAATTCCCACCTCTTCTCTAATTTTGGTGTTCCTTATTCTATCTCTGCGCGTTTTCCCTTTTGATTTAGTATTTTTCTCCTACGTGCCTTAAGGGCGTGATGCTTGGGCACAAGGTTAGGTTTTTATATAATGTGATTTCTTTCCATTTTTCCAGGTACCAGTAATTAAACCTATGGAACTAATGGTAGAAGCATCTCCCAGGAGAATATTTGCCAATGCACACACGTATCACATCAATTCCATTAGTGTCAATTCAGATCAAGAAACTTACCTCTCGGCAGATGATTTACGGATTAATCTTTGGCATCTAGAAATCACCGATCAGAGTTTCAGTATCCTTTATTCTATTTCTATGACAGTTTTGGTGACAGGAATCTCCATTTTAGGAAACATGAAAACTTGTCTTCATTTGGTTGTATACATTTTATTTTAATCTTTTTTTACGATACTTAAATAAGTATGAGGACTGTACCGGAAGTCACGAGTGTAGTCTGATTATGCACATTTTTTGCACCGGGTGTTTTGGTAGCAACTTATCCTTTTGGAAGTAAAAGTTAGTCCTTACAAGTAATCTCAGATATTGTTGACATAAAACCAACGAACATGGAAGAACTTACTGAAGTGATAACAGCGGCAGAGTTCCACCCTGTGGAGTGCAATTTGTTTGTGTACAGTAGCAGTAAGGGTACAATCAGACTGTGTGACATGAGGGCAGCAGCGCTCTGTGACAGGCATTCAAAGTGTAAGTATGTGAATGATTTTTGCTTGTATATCAGACACGAGTGTCAGTTCTGGGTGACAGATATGTCACGGTGAAATTTTGATGTACTCACAGCGTTGAGGACGGATGATATGGGTTGACGTTAAGTATCTGTACGGTTACATTGTCAGATACATCGCAGAGCTCTTTCTACCTTGAACATTTGTTTGGAAATGCATGAAATGGCAGACGGCTATCCTCTTCGTTGTCGTGTCATGTAGTCTGGTAGAAATTCGTCAGTGTTTCGGGGATGCCTGTTGTCTCTGTCAGATATCAGTAAACTTCTAGTAGACTACTTGAAACACGCTAAACTGGTGGTGAATGTTTTGAGAGCGTCTGCATCTAATTGCAGTGTTTGAAGAACCTGAGGATCCGACAAGTCGAAGTTTTTTCTCGGAGATCATCTCAAGTATATCAGATGTGAAGCTGTCCAATTCTGGTCGATACATGATATCTAGAGATTACCTGTCTGTCAAAGTATGGGACCTGCATATGGAGACCAAACCTATAGAATCTTATCCAGTAAGTACATTTATATATGATAATTTATAGGCGCATTTACAGCTAAAAGTTGTGCAAATGTGTCATTAACTTTGTCCACATGTAACATATTGAGAACTACTGAACAAACTTTTATGAAATTTTATATTGGATAATTTTATGAAAATCTGTTAACACATTCTCATTTTGGTTTAAATTAGGTGACAGTAATTGGCACTTTGTATTAATATCTGCATGTGTTTCTGTAAGTGACTGAATAGAGTCCCACCAGGGAATTTCCCCAACCATCCACAAAGATCAAATTCTGGTGAACGTGCCCATATTGTTATGCTGCGCACACGTTTATGTTTTTATGGACATCAGTTACTGACATAATCTGTAAATAGAAATGAAAGTAACTAATGTTATGGCTGAATATGATTGTTTCTAAGATGAAAAGGAATATACGACTCTTTATCAGCGAGTCATCTTAAACCTTCCTCCATTTTCTCTCTCCTCTCATAATTGCTGAAGAAGAGTCCAGCAAAGGAGAAATAGTAATTGCTGTACTACCTAATAATAATAATAATAATAATCCGTGGCGTAACAGCCCTCTGAGAGCCAAAGCCGACTAGCTTGACTGCTGGCCTCACGTTCACATGCCTAAGCAGAGGTGAACGATCATCCAACCAGATATAGGCTGACGTGTGGTCAGCATAGCGAACCCCCAGCCATCGCTAGTTTTCCTGACTGGATTACGCTACTCATTGTAGCTCCCCAATTTCCTCACGATGCTGGGTTGGCACTGGTCCCATACACTGGTCGAAAATCTCATGAGAAGTTTCTTTCCCTGAGACATGAACCAGCGCGCATTCCATAGATGGTTATCGCCATTTTTGAGGAACCTTTATCTTCAGGGAAGAAGTGAAGAGATATCCTGAAGATGGAGGTGATAGGCCATTCTGAAACATTGATAACCGCATTTAAAGTTCACACAGTGTGTCTTAACCCAGAAGACCACAACCTACTTCACCATGAAACCTCAAATTTTGTTTTATATTCAGAATTCTTGAAAAGCATATATATGTATGTTTCTTATCGCTGTTAAATGTTTTAAAACTTGTTTTCCAGGTGCATGAGTACCTGCGTTCGAAGCTGTGTTCGTTGTATGAAAATGATTGTATCTTTGACAAATTTGAATGTTGCTGGAATGGCAATGACTCGGCCATTATGACAGGATCATACAATAACTTCTTTAGGATGTTTGACCGCACGACAAAGAGAGATGCAACCCTCGAGGCTTCGCGAGACATTGCAAAACCTAAAACCATACTCAAACCTAGAAAAGTAAGTCCAAGAACAGTCAATAAGGCTAGGTGTTGAACATTTTGTGATTTTATGTATCGCATTGATCTTGTTCATTTATCGTAGTTAAAAATCTATCGCAGTTCTAATCGTACATAATACTGTACACTGTGAAACTAATCTGCTTATGTTTTGTCAAGTAAAGTTGTAGGAGGCTGCCATGCAGTTAAGGACCTTCTGCCCTAGTATCTGATACCTATAAACATAAAGGTTAATCTATACCAGAATTTAATTTATCTGTTGTTTTTGTAGGGTTGTGAAAGTGGATATTAGAATGAACAAATCAAGGAGAAGGAAGGGGGCATATGCATCTCATGGGGGAAATTGAGAAATGTGCACAAAATTTTGATTGGAAAATCTGAAGGGAAAAGATAAGGTATAAATTGGAGTTGATGTCAGGGAAATGGGGTTAAAGGTTGTGAATTGGATTCATCTGACTCGGGATGAAGTGGCGCTGGACTCTTATGCACGTGATAGTTAACTTCGGGGTTCCGCGAACAGCAGGGAATATGAGTAGCTGAGCACATAACAGCTTCTCAAAGACTCTGCTCCATGGAGATGATTACTTTGTTTTTTGAAAAGAAATGGGTTTTGCATAAAATACCTTAAGAAAAGCATACAGTCAAAATTGAAGATTCAAATTACCATACTTGCTACCCCTAACACAACTGAAGTCCTTTGTGTTCATTTTGTTATTGTAAATAGGTTTGTCAGAGCAGAAAAGATATTTACTTACACGCCGTCAAGTTGTAAAGCTACTTTTGAAACACTCTGTGTTATTGTAGATGCAATATTTCCTCTCCAATCTTTTAGGGTGATGTTATACTTCTTTCAGAAATTTTTGTTTTGCCAATATTTTGTGTAGGTGTGTACAGGGGGGAAACGCAAGAAGGATGAGATCAGTGTGGACTGCCTTGACTTCAATAAAAAGATTCTGCATACAGCGTGGCACCCCACAGAAAATATTATCGCGGTGGCGGCCACAAACAATCTGTTCCTCTTCCAAGACAAGTTCTAGCACACAGGCATGGCGGAACAAACTCATCAGGTAAGGTAACATTGATGATCCAAAGTGCAGAATCGCCCGTGAATCTTGCTCACTTTGGACGTCGTGTGTTGCAAGCTGTCTAATGCTATGATTTCCACCATTTACGTACAGTGTGGTGATTTTCGTAAGTACCTTTTTGTAAGCTGTCATGTTAAGGGCAAAAAATAATCGGCGATTATAACGCTCCAGGATTAAAACTAAGTAGAATTTTCCTTGTGTTGTTTCAGTATAATGCAAAATGCTATTGACTGGACACATGAAAGCCTTAAGAAATTGAAACTCAAGACGAGAACAAGCTGCCTCTTCTTGCTACATCCTGCCCCATTTGGTAAGGAGTCGAGTAGCAAATCTCACTGATATGTGAGGTTAAAGAATTCTCCGTAGAGACGCAGATGTGATAAGATCTGATGGCAACACCAGAACTGTGTCCTTTTATCTGTGATCGAACAGTTACGGTTTATACTGTCGCAGACAGTGAATCACGGTAATCGTGGGGAGTGCTTATACATCGTGGTAGAATATATTTCCTTTGCTGCCGTGCACCGCTCGTTCAAAAGTAAATACAAAGTGTGAAAACACGTTTTCTTAAAAGTAATGTGTAGGGCTTCGTATTGCCATATTGATATCATTAAATTCTCAATTCATTATTAGAAGGAAACATTACATTTAGTTTATACATACTTTATTTATCCTTTTTCCAGAACTTTGCCAGGATACATAAAAAATAAGCAGTTGATTGTATACGTGCTTTGATGCACCTACAGGTTTTATAACCATCTTGGGAAGAAGTTTGTTAAAAAACTGAAATGAATATGAACAATATAAAAAGACATTGGAGGAGAAAGTAATTCTTTAGTAGAAAAATAATAGCTTTTTCACAGGACATGAGTTTCGACGCATTTACAAGTAACAACACGAAGTCCCAGTGCTTTGACGTCTTTTTTTTATTTATGATTTGTTGCCCCGCTTTTACGTAGCATGAATTTGCTGCTGTTAGTGTTGAGAATCGGTCTGCATTGAATTTAAATATAAGGGACAGTTGATGTTTAAAAAATGCTTCCATCACTTCAAGCGAATGCAGACTTGAGCTACCGACTATCGACCCGTTCAGTTGTAGTTTGACGTGATCTTCGTTTGTGTGGCAGAAGTCGGAATCGCGGATTATTTCCGCGTATGCGTGCCACGCCTAATAGTAAATAACTGAGCGTGGTGGATAATCAGTTATTTAAAATATAACAGGAAGATGTAATTGAATCAAATGAGCAATGGCACCTAAATTATGCTGCATGAATTATATAATAATATAGCAATGTAAGAATTGTACGATACCATAAAACATGAACATGAAAAGGGCTCATATTCAAGTTGTGTGTATGAGTTGAGTGTGTGTGAGTGTTATATGATGCACAAATTGTGTTGTAACGCAGAATGTATGAGTGTCATTACTTCCGTTGTCATTTCTGTTTGGGCGGATGAATGATTGAAAATAAACGAGCAAATATTACTTTGTTTCTCATATAGATATAATACCTTTTCCTTTATTCGTGATTCAGGAGTCACTGTATCGCGTGTTCGTTCGGCAGCCATTTCAAGGAATAAAGTAACGTAATCATTTAAGTATAGAAGATATTGTGGACATGCCAGTTGTGAGGGATTTTTCTCTCTTACCTTCTTAAAGTTATGAGTCTCATTTAATTGAAACTGACAGATGGCTCTGTTTGTATTATTTTTTTAGACATTTAAGGTGAAAGAGCCTTTGATACTGAATTGTTTTTCTTAATTAAGGATCGTGCTTCTTGGAGCAGTGCACGTTAGACTTTCAGATTGCTCGTTATGCATGGGGCTTGGAATTATGAAATATTTATTGCCATATTTGCTTCACACGGTATTCGTATACGGTTGAATTCGCTTTGCTAGGTTACAGTGAAATTTTTCAAAAATTAAAATAAATTTTCCAGTGGTTGATATTAGGTAGCTTGCTTGTAATTAAATCTTAAGTCTCGGTTGCTATAAAGAAATTCAAGGAACCATTTTCAGTAATGTTGATGACATCCTGTGCTGACTAAGGTATCTGTGATAGAGTTCTAAAACAAAAGTTACCATGTGTGGAATTCCTTTTATTGTAGAAAGTATATTATAGTTCTAGCCTGTATATGATATTTTGTGGGCAAATAACACTGTCTTATTGTTGTAAACTTAGAAGATTTTGAGTTTGGTGACAACAAAGCAAAGAACGCAGTGGCCGTGTGTTGAGCTGGGCGTGTACTGTGCATAGTTCGTTCTAATCTTGTATGGAATAATAAAACATGACTATCACAAATATTTTCCCATCAATTTTTTTTTTTGATCTGGATTGTCTTTAGGTGGGTTCAAAGATTTTTGGTATCTGAGCTAATGGAGCATTAATTTTTTAGGAGAGTATTGTTAAAGAATGAAATATCTTTTTATTTTAAAAAATGTAAGTGGTGTTATAGAGTGTGTATTTTTTGAAACTCGGTTTTTAGGTTAAAGATGTGCAGAAACAAAAATAATTTGAAAGTGAAATAGTCTAAGTGAGGTTAAGAGAGACCAGTTACAAATGTTCCAGTTGTCTTCCAAATACAATAAAAAAAATCAAAGATATTCACTAAATTTAATGTTATATTTTGGTTATGCTTCATGCTATGTTATTTATTCATTTATTTATTTCAGTATTAAAAGTGGGAAGTTTTCCCTTTGCTTTTGTATAATCCTTTGCACAGTAAATTTTTGAGAAGTAAAATCCCGTGATTGAAGAGTTTAGTATACCTTCAGTTTCTCAAAATTTATCTGTGAATTCAAATTCTGAAGTGTTTTCATTGCAAGCAATGATGAAAATAATTGGAGACATCACATTTTTAACAATTTTAGATGAGTCGCTTTAACAGGCGATTTAAGGTATGGTATACAGTATAGTTCAAGATGATACATTGGTTAGGTTAATTTATTTTTTTAATCATTAAAGGTATCATAAATACAGTGCCATTCTCATATTTGACTATTTTTTATGCCCTTTTCCTGTCCCAACCTCCAGTTGCTTCTGTAGTTTCTGCCTTCCATTACAGGACATTTCATTCTCTTTAATAAGAGATGATTCTATTATGTAATTGGTTCTAAAAAGTAATTAAATTGATTGATCATAATAAAGAAATGCATTAAAGATGTAATTGATATGTGCACAACAGGTAATTTATTACATTCTGGAAAATAGTTTGATGTGTGAGCTTTTTCTTTGTTCTGTATTGTGTAAAGCAAATGTAAATATTAGAATATTTGCAGTTACTATTGTGATCCATAACTAAAACTTGTTCCCCACAACAGAATTAAGATTTGATATGAATGAAGTTCGATAAAAATGAGGGCCCCGTCACGGACTACAGTTGTATGAGATTCTGTGCAGTACTTCGAAATTGATTCCCCGTTACCATTTTCAGTTTTACACATAATTTGCTTTATTAATATAGAATAAACCATATAGCTGAAAATTAAATGAAGGTGCTGTTAAGTGCATTTTCATGCATGTAAATTGTGTGGGTGAGTGAGGATTGAGTTTTGAAATATTTTGTTGAAAAAATGTTTATGCTTGATGGCAAATCAGTAACAAACACCATGGAGTAATGTTCTTGAGAAGCTGATAGTACGCTTTGCTACTGAATAAATTCCCTGTCTTTTATATCATCTGAATGATCATTAAGACCTCACCAAAGGTGCCTATCCTGAGCTATATAAATCCACGCCTTTAAATTATTTCCGTAATATTTATTTTAATAGTTCCTCCCATTTATGCCTAGGACTTGAGAATGGTCTCTTCCCTTTAGGATTTCCAACTAAAATTTTGTATCAGATCAATAGGTAAAAAAATATGTACTGTTTGTAGCCTTGTCATCTTTGTTCAAGAACTGCAAGTTAGATCAGTTGATCCTGTAATGTTTACTGTTGCTTGACATTTGTGTAGTCATCTGAGCAGTATTATGTGATGAATTGATCAACCAACATTGCATCCACAATTACAGTATCAAAGTTATTTCTAACTACATTCAGTCATAGAATATGTTGTTTTGTAGTAGATGCCAAAATCAAAATTGAGACACCATAAATAAACTGTGAGCCTGCCATGGACATGACATTTGGAGTCTCTTGTGGAATTACTGTCATGTTTGTTAATGTGTTTATTATGCTGGCTTTTTTTTTGTCCACAATTCTCATTTACAGGCTTGTTGAAAATTGTATGAAGTACAAGAGTGTACTCAGTGCACAATCATACCAGAGGCTATCACAGGAGAACTTCAACAAACATAGGTTTGTTGTCTTATTCTGAAATTCACAGGCTACTTAAAAATGTTGCGGTTATGTGTGTAAATTCTGTTATATTTTTTAATTTCAAATCAGCATTATGAGATACTTACAATTCTGTGAGTTCAAGTATGTGAAAGAGTAAAATAGGCGTCATGAATTCCACCAGGAATTCTGTATTTTTAACTTTGTATCTACGAACAGGCATAGTTTTATTCATTTGACATTTAAAACAGTGTTACGTTTTGTTTTTCTTAGATCTTGTCGTTTGCAACTGTTTCAGCGGTAGTTAACATAGTAAGGTCTAGATGCCAGCACCAGGTCATTGTGTCAGCATGCCATCTACCGTATGCTCGAGATTTTACTGGTAAAAAAAATTCAGTTGTGGTGATGTCAGTAATTAAAATTGTGGTGAGCTTGTTAATAATAATTATTTTATGTGCTTGTTCCAATTTATTAAATCAAGAGGAAGAAAACACTTGCAATGGGAAAACCACAGGATTCTCTACACGGTTAGCATTTATCTTTACACTTACTTAACATTGCTGTCTACTTAACCTTAAATTTATGAAATGCCTTAAACCCTTGATAGCAAAATTTATGTTTTGGAAATTTTCTTTGACTGAAGAAGCGTTCGTCTCTATTTGGAATATCTTTAAGAAGGAAAATGGTTTGTAAGACAGACAAAAGGTTGCAAGAAATAATAGTAATGAATGTAACTGGATGTCATTGAACCTGGAAGACTTTATTAGTCCACTTTTTTCTGTTATAGGCCTGATTATTAATGATTTATGTCACAGCTGTTAATATTATTATAATATTAAGTGAAATTTATTAAAATTGCTTCTTTGAAATTATGTGCTATCTAATTATATATTTGCTTGATGACTGAATGGTTAAAAGTTGACATGCCTACTCTAAATTTTGAGAATTTTTTTTTAAAATAAATTTAGTGCCTTTTATAAACAAAAATCCTTTCAGAAAGAAAATTTTTTTTTAATAAATTTAGTGGTTTTTATAAACAAAAATCCTTTCAGAAAGTGAACAACTACAAAATTCCTTGGTCTCAAAATTAGTAATTATTTAAACTGATAAGGGAACACAGACAAAGATTCATCATACTTGGGGTATGAAGTCCTGTTTACTTGTTGCTATTAGGGAAACTGTTAAAAATTCTGCAAAAGAAAATTATCAGAACAAAGTTAGGTGCTTAAAGTGTGAGCCATGTGAATTGAAAGACGTTTCACGTACCACCACTTGTCAGTAAGTGCCATTTATAAATTGTTTTTTTTTTGTTTAATACTGGACTCTCAGTTTATTAAATGGAGTTCGTTTTACAGGAATAAAGTAAGTACAAGCAGCTCCTTCCTAAAATGAAACATGTCTACTGGAAAACTCAGTTTGAGGTAGCAGTTTATGTTTAATGCATTTGACTTTACATCTTACGTGTCCAAATTCATGTTCTTTTAAATTGATAAAATCTGCATAGACTGGGTGGAGGCATGTAGAACACGCTAGAGAGATGAGAAATGCGAACATAATTTTAACCTGAAAGCCTACATGTAAGAGACACTGGGTAGAAACCCAGTGAGAACAGAAGGTCCCACCACTTAAACAGCTTCGAGTAGGACTTAATAATTTTTCAAGCCTTGATTAATGTTTGTATTAGCCACGTTCAGCATCAAGTTTTTAGTACCAAACCCTTACTGCCTCTTTCCGTGTATTCTCGGCGTAAGAAATGACCAGCAAGTTTTCAGATTTTTCTAGTTAAACATGGTAAGGATATAAATTAAAAATGCATCAACTCTTATTAGGCGTAGAAATCTTCTCACGTCTTCCAACAAAATAGGAAATGGTTTATTCTGCGAAGTTGAGAGTTACGCGCCACAGCCATGTTCCTGAGTTTAATATCTTATTCCAGTTACTAGAAATAACTCATCAATGAGAAGTCTGAAATCTTTCGAAACGGCGACAATTGCACTGAACTGAAATGAGAACTGAAGTTCCAGTTCGCTTCACTGGCAACAGACAGCTCCGGCAGGAGGGCTTGGCCTAAGTGATACAAAATCACTTTCCAAAGTCTGAATAGAGCGGCTAATTTTGAAAAGTAGGACTTCGTTCTCTGCAGGGGGGTGGGGGTGGGGGGGGAACAGTGAACTTTTCTCCCGAACCTTTCCATTGAATGAAAGGACAAAATGAGGCCTTTTTCTGGTATTGTTGTCAGCACACAACATTGTAAGCACAAGTACATCAAAACCTTTTACCAGCTCCATAACCTTATAAAAGGCAGGACTTCATTATTTTTGTAGGTGCGTGACACTTCACTTCTCCTGTCTTTGCAATGAACTCTGTGTTATACTGCAGAAAAAAAAGTTGTCAGTGGAACCACGGTTCCGGAGAATTTGACGTAAATACGTCTATACGGAAAGGAAGTTTATATATTGGCTTTATTCTAAATATTTCCTTTGTACATGCTTTACAATTGAGATAAGTTTGATTAAGACTTTGCTTATTTAACTTGAATTAGTTACGCTTAAGATGGGTCTGTGGTAGATGAATGTAATGTAAGGTAATGTAATGTAATGTAAGGTAAGGTAGGTAATGAAATGTTTCCTAGGTAACAATAATGCCGAGTAAACAGGTGACGTTTCGTAGGTAACAATAACAATTGAAGTTTCCTAGGTAACATAACAATGCAGTTACACTTTTTCGTTTCACTTTTTCGTTTCACTTTTTCGTTCCACTTTTTCGTTTCACTTTTTGCTGAATGACACTGACCCTAAAATATAGACGTATTTACGTCAAAAAACATTGAATAAAGTTTCAGTAAGTCATAACTGACTGGCAAATTTTATGTAGACCATTATTTACAAAAATTGTACCAATTGAAAGTCGTTTCTGTGCATTTTATCGCCGAAACTACTGAAAGGGTTTCGATTAAATTTCGTATTGTTGGTCTACAGTGGAGTTCATTGGCGAAGGTACATTTGATTCGTATCGACCCATTATAACCTGTACGTAAATATGGAGCTGTAATAGAAAATTTTTGGTATCTGATTTTATGCAGCAGAGTTACTCTTGGAAAGCTAATGGTTGCTCAGCTACTCAAAAAATTCTCTTGTTTTATGGCACTGGAAGGTTCATTATCGACTTTACGTCTGTTGATGAAGTGTACAAATTATAAAGCTCCTCATTTTTCAGTGTTCTTTAGTCTCCTGTTCCTACTTTTTTCATGTCCAAATATTCTCCTTAAATGTAAGACCAAGTTTCAAACCCACACAAAAAACAGGCAAACATATATTTTTTTATCCTGTATTTAAATCTTTACGTTCATAGATAGCAAACAGGAAGACAAAATATAAACTTACCAGTTTTCTAAAAATTGACCCACGACCAAGATCTAAAATGTTTACTTGTAACCTTTTTGGATATGGCTAATATTTAACGAAGTACAAGGATGACTAAGTTAGCTGGCTCTTATGCACTTTTGTCTTTAGTGAGAGACACTCTGCAACAACATATTTACATCTACAGTAAGTGAAGATGAAAGGCCTATGATGTATGGGCTTAGGTTAGGTTAGAATTTGGAAAATCCTTCAAAATAAACTTTGCAGCGTGTTCAAATATTCGTGTTCGGAATCTCAAAAAATATATTTGAAATTTGTTGAAATTATTCCAATGTTCTTATATCGTCACACAAGAAGTTGCAGTGTGTAATAACGAAGTCCACGGAGCAAAGTCCTGATTGTAAAAGACGATACTAATTCAACTGTTCAATAAATTATTTGGATTTTATTGAACACGAATGTCACTGTCGTGTTCAAACGAACCCGCCACTAGATTACACCCCGAGGTAGTTTAATCCAATCTACACTCTCACATCGTA